AGGTGCTGTCACAACACTGGATTTAAGGTGACTTGATGCTGTGGGAGGTTATGAGCATCTCCATCCTGAACCAGAGTTTCTCTTTTTTTCTTCTTGTCTTCAAACACTGTGTGTCATTTTCCCAGATTGTGAAATGAGAGGACGACTGCACCACTGACACCAATTCTGGTCTCTAAAGAAAACTTTTACAAAGGATTCAGCTACAAATGTAAATAAACAGTTGGTACCATATGGCAATCTGCAAAAGGAACATAATGAACTGATCCCAAATATATCTGACCTATTTCTTTATTGCATTATTTGCATTTGCACAGAAGCTCAAGTAAAATTTGCATCAGAATGCAAACAAAACTAAACAACAGTTTGTATCTGCTTAATCTCCTGTCCAGGGAGGTTGAGGAGATACTTTCAATCTTCAGCTTGGCCTACATTTGTGGGGTAATCGATGAGAGAAAAGGGTTTGTTTGTTTGTTTGTTTGGCAAACACGCACGTGCAATGTTTAGATGAGAACTGCAAACCAAAATGTTAGGGTATCAGTCCACGATCTGAAGCTTAGAGGCTGGTGATACAACAAATTGCATGTCCCATACTTGAACAGGACAGATGCAAATTGTTTCTTTGTGTAGAAGAGTGACTATATCCATTGATCGGCTGGAGGTCGGATTTTCTGCATTTCTCTCTTTGACTCAGGGAAATACAAGTTTAGTACTGTAAAGACTGACCCGACACACTGGTATGTTGTTCATGTTTGAGGAGTGTTTATTGGAATATCACACATGTGCCGTTTATATCATTCGGCCTCCGGTCACACACTCCTACTCTCTGGGCTCCGGCTTTGCTATATATCAGGGACATACCCATTGGGCTCACTGCACTACCCCTCCCCTACAGCTGAGCCAGGGACCACGCCTCTGCCGCAATTATATTACAAATAATTGAATCTTTATTTTAACAGTCATGGAAAATGTCCTGTTTCTTATTCAAGTTCAGTTGGTGGGAGCAGCAGTAGGATGCCCAACCACCTCCTCCAACTCATCTGGGGGAATACCAAAGTGTTTCCAAGCAAACCAAGAAACATCCCTCCAGCGTGTCCTGTGTCTGCCCCGGGGCTCTCTCCTGGTAAAACATTATGAACACCACAGTTTGGAGGCATCCTAATCACTCCTAACCACCTCAGCTGGCTCCTTTCAATATGGAGGAGTGCTTGTACTCTGAGCCCCTTCTGAATTATCAAGCTCATTGTATCATTGTGTCATGTAAAATGATTTAATGATACGTAGCATATGGCCACAAAAATCCTACATATTGACACCTGATGTTATGTAAAATACATGATATTTTAACTTATTGGTTTTTTTTTTAAATTGCAATCACTCCTTCTCAATCACTTGGATGCTGAAAACCTGATTCAGGCTCTGAATTTAGAGCTGAACTTTGAATCTCTCTATCTCTCAGGGTTAGAGTAACTGGCAAAGTGTGAGAACATAAAAGGCACAAAAGGTAAGAGATTAAATATGAGAAAAGATGTCTCTCAGCTGTGAGACAATATTGTACCGTGGTCACTGAGTCTCTCAATTACAAGGTACATTACTTGAGAGCTCAATGATGGGTGAAGGAGGTTTATGAGGTCTGGCACAAGTCCTTCTCAATGTGCTTCAGAGGACTGGTGAGTATCCTGCCTTTTACTGTCATTGTTCTAATTTGGTGTGAGTACGCTCAAGTTCTTTTAGATTGGGTCCACTGAAAGTACAGAGGCTGAGAAGGAGAGGAATCAATAATGACGACAGGTTTGAAGCACTTTATCATCCTTAACCCAAAGCTGCCCTCATCTAATGTGTGTGTGCATGTGTCCTTACCTGCAGTGTGCTAACATTTCCGGCCATGACTTCTCTTCCTGAGTGTTAGGATGAACATCAGGGGATCGTTCGTTTCCAAGTTGCTGTTAACCGACTGATCACTGTGTTTAATTAAGCAGTGTCACTGCTGACATCGCTGATGTAACTTCCTGTGAAGTGGCTTTTAGTGGAACAGATCCCCATTCATCAAACTTTCATAGAAAGAGAGTCAGTCTAAAAGCGCTTTAGACATTTTCCAACGATAATGCAGTATTCATCAGCTCTGCGGTAAAGACGGCTTGTGAAAATGCTGATTATGAATGATTTGTAGGAATAAAGTGTGGAAAACTTGATGTCAGACGCAGAGGATCAGGAGAATTAGTTCTGGAAGACCAGAGCAAAAAAACAACTCTCTGCTGCAATCTAGTGGTGGAAAGAGGTATTTCTATGAAGTATTTACAAAGTCAGAGAGGGCAAAGTTAAAGTTTCTAAGAGGCTTTGTGCAAACTAAGTCTTCATTTCTATTCTTATAGGAATAAATCATATTCCACTGTGTAGTGGTTAAAATGGTAAATGGCCTGCATTTGTATAGCGCTTTTCTAGTCCATAGGACCCCAAAACCACTTCACACTACATTCAGTCATTCACACACTGGCGATGGCAAGCTACATTGTAGCCACAGCTGCCCTGGCGCACTGACAGAGGCGAGGCTGCCGGACACAGGCGCCACCAGGCCCTCTGACCACCACCAGTAGGCAAACATGGGGTTAGTATCTTGCCCAAGGATATTTGGCATGCAGCCAGGGATCGAACCACCGACCTTCTGATTAGTGGCCGACCTGCTCTGCCACCTGAACTACAGCCACCCCATTAACACATTCACCTTGTATGAGAACAGCTCGAGTTTGAGACCAAGGGGAAACAACCAACCTCAGAGGATCATAAGATAATCAACCTCCAGTACCTTTGGAATTATAATCTGTAGCTTTAATTTATTCCAAAGAAGGAAATACTTTTTAAAAAAAAGAAAAAGGCAAAAAATTGGATTGAAAAAAAAGAGGTGGATGTGATCCTTTCCATACCCCTATACGTAAACAGGACACCAGGTAACAGATTAAGACAAAGAATTTGGCATAAACTTAGCTTAACGTTTTCTAAAATGACTTACAAAGATTAAATGTTAATAATGAAGCAACATGGCGCAGACCTGGCCCTCACTATAAACATAAGGTTCACACAGATTACCAAGTATTATGTTTTCAGGCCACATTTCAGACAGTTTTCATCTGGAAAGTGCCACAATATTTACAATCCTTTACAACAATAATTGGGCCATACTTACTATTTCAAATGTGGGCCACATTAGACTCACAACCTAATTAACCAGTGCACAGTAGTGGGCTACATTTGCTGTGTTAGACTACGGCCACTTCAGGGTCCCATCCAGATTACTCAAAGCTTACTGAGCCACAGCTTTTCTAAAAGTGGCCACATATGTTTTATGATAAACTGTCTACCTTTGATAAATTAAATGTAGGCATATATTTGTCTTTTTATTTGTTGCACCAGGTCCATATTAACCATTTACCACATGGGCCACTTTAGGGCACAACCAGACCACACAATCCCAAAAGCACCACATTTTCGCCAAAAACAGCCCATTGCTGCTTGAATGCATGCATTCTGTCCAGACCAGAAGGTTGTTGCTGAATCATTGCCATCCACTGCCCACCCTCCCCTGTTATCAGCCTTTGCCTTTACAATCTGCTGCACTGACCACAAAACAAAAAAGTGACCTAAGAAGCAGTAGCCCTCTAAATTAAATAATACAGATGTATTATATGCAAAACAACATATTCATTCCTAAATGATTCTATATGTAATTTTCAAAAAATAACTGAAGCATGATATAACAAGTGACAAAAAACCTCTTTATTAGATGTAAACAAGTTAAAAAAAAAAAAAAAGTAATAATAATAATACAGCACCAGGACAAGTTACCTGCTAATACACCCAGATGAATGTGTAAGTCAGAGTCTGATGGAAACACTTCCAGATCTCAGTGTGTGACAGCTTCTCTGTCATTCTGCAGATATTGGCCCACAAGTAGAAAAATTAGTTGTAAATTTCATTTTTACAACTTCATATTGAGCACATGCTACGTAAAAATCATCATGTTCCTTCCACTCAAGTGCAACATGCATGTTGCATTCTGAATACAGAAAAAGTTGCTCATTATAACGCTCAGAAGAAAAACAAGTCTGTATTCTAAGCAGTGTCTGTCTGCACCTTCATGGTCACAGTGCTTTCCAGATAAAGGCTTGAAGCTTGCAGGAGTTGAATTCCTAAAGACACTTGAGGAAAAAAACCTTTTGTTGTCGAGCAAACATATTTTTGCAGTACTTGGCAGTAGTTGTGCATATAATGATTTCCTTGTAGCTACACATAATGTTTTATTATTATTTTTTAACAAAAATGTATTTATCTACCTGATTTAATACTTAGAACTTGAGTAGGCTGTAATATGTAAATTTGTAGGAAATAGTTATGAATTATTAGTAATGCTATGTGTAATCACCTGTTTTGTGACTATTACATACAAATAATCCAGTAAAAGGCACAATTATGACTAAGTTGTTACTAATGAAGACACAGTAGGTATTGTTATAATACACAACTACTTGGAACTCAAGTAATTAGTCAATATTTATATGACAAATATTCCCGTTATTCAAAATTAATCCCTGTCTGAAATGAGCTGTTTTAGCTCCTTTCCCTCGCCCTTCAAGCTAGCTTTTCTTCTGATTGGCTACCCCTTGTAAACAGCAGGTTTGAACAGCAGGTGGGTGGGGCTGCTGTGCTCGCAGCCAGAGCCACATCCATAGGGGTATCTGCTGTCACTGACATCATGCAGAAACAAGAGTAATAAAAAACCCCTGAAGCTTGAGCTTTGGCTCACATGATCAGCTGTTAAAACATTGATCTCATTATTTAACATGTGTCCATATTTGTAACAGCACTGTAAGGAGATGCATAAAATCATTTCTTGACACATAGACTGTTGTTCCACTACCTTATACCTCATAACAGTTACAATAATAGTTACATTATTTCAGAACTGAAAGAACAAAGGAACTATAAAGAAAAATCCATCAAATTTTTTGGGGGGAAAAATAGCATTACAGTCATTTTTTGCTGTCTACACAGGCAAGGTGCCATGTAGGGAGTGGTGGTGTACCATGGCTATATTTACGAAAGTATATTTAGGATTACTTCCTCTGACTGTTTGATATAAAAAGACATAAAATATTCCACAATCTGTTGATTCTGGCTGTTCTTTTTACTGACCATTAAAATCATGAATCAAAAATTTATTTTAGCACCTCAGAACTTCCGAGCTGATTAAAAGGTTAAAAACTTGTAAACTGTCAGCTGTTGCTCCGCTTCCTTTCAGCAAGGCTTTAAGCACATTTCTGTCCTGCTGTGATCGATGCTTCTTCTTTCTCCTTTCTCCTCCAGCATGAGCATGATAAGCCAACACATAAAGGCACTTTTACAATGTGGACTACACAGAGGACTGTTAGTCTCTAGCAGCTGGCTGGATACTGTATCACATTAAGCCCGACATGCAGTGACTCTGATGTCCTGCCTCACTAGGTTACTTTCACTTCCCTTGTCTGACCTTTTCAAGTTGGTCCAAGGTTTACGCCGACAACCTCAAGGTTACTTCCCAGCAGCTCTAACCTTTCCATTTCTGCCATCTTTTTATGAAACCGCATCGTCCTGACAGGTCTCGGCTCTGCGTCGCCTCAGAGCTCCACAGTTCGCAGGTGGCTGCGAGGGGAAACGGCAGCCAGCACGCTCTGGGGCAAACACTCCGACTGCTCCGTGGTGCTGCCACAGCAAGACCAGTGAGGCTTCCCGGGATGTCCTTTATGACCATGACCGCAGCCTTTAAATCCTCCTGCAGTCAGACGGACATTCGATGGCAGATGAAATGATGAGAGACAAAATACAAAAGACTGATTTAAGCTTTTTCCTCATTCGTTGCTTACAGGCTTCTTTAGACAGAAATTTTGGAGCTGAATTATAGCAGGTGTGGATAGAATGATTACATCTGTACTTTAATTATCGCCAGCTCATATGAAAATTTGTTTTTCCAGTTTATCAGTCTGTAATAGGTCTACGTTTAACTACATTTACCACAGTGGCTTTGAACATATTTCAGAGTGTAAGTAAATGCAGAGAGAAACAATGATTTCCATAGTGACGGGAAACATTTCAGTAACAGCAACTGTCTCTATTTAACTCAAATTACACACAAAACACATGTGTGATGCTAAGGAACTATATTTCAAACACCTGCTTCTTTTATGAATCAAATAACCTGAAATATAATAGAACACAGAGAGTGTAAGGAAAGCTGGTTTAGCTTAAAAACACAAAGTGCACAGATGATGGTGCCGAGATTCTGTGAAAATCTTAACTTAATTTTGTTCTTCATCTGTGTGTTCTAGTCAACAGCACAGTGTACCCCGAAGTTTGTTCACTGTACACCTGCTCCTTCAGACAGGACATATGAAAGTTATCTGCTGCGTACCTGGCATGGTTCCCGGGCAGCCACAGCGAGCCTCTTTGGCTCCTCCGCTGGAGCAGAAGGAGCAGCAGTGAAACGTCCCTCTGTGACGCCTGAACTTCCTCTTCACATTCAGAACAAATGGAGAGCCCTGCAGAGACAGACAGCACAGAGGCAGTCAACCAGTGTCGGTTGGCACAAGAGCCGTTACAGGGATTCTTCTTGCTTAAGGACAACGTTGTGCATAATAACTTGATTTGTCAGGAGGATGTAGAGCCCTGAAGTGACGAGCTGTGCACTGCTAGCAAGGCCACGGCTCCGTCTAGCAGTCAGCTTATTATTTCAATAATTCATATCTCAGCTGTGAAACGCAGCTACTGTTTTCAAACTGTTTCGACAGCGGTTATATTTTTGTTTCAACATGTAAATATTATATAAGGAGGAAACTAATTAGACTCTGCAGGTGCCTGGCTGCGAATGGTGTGGCGTACAGGTGACTGACTCCAGTCATGGTTTCCTAGATGAGACGGGGGCTTGTCCTCGGTTTTTCTTGCTTGGCGGTTATTTTGTGTGTGTGTTTTTTGTTTTCTTTAGTGTGTGGGGTAATTCTTTCCATAGATATTTTGGGGGCAGATTTACTTACAGTGGCTATTTTTTGTGACATTCAAATGCTCTGTAGTGCTTGTAAAGCAGAGCTGAAGGCCTCTCTGTGTGCAGAGTTGGTGGACAAAGACATCCGACCTTCACAGAAGGAAGCTGCAAGGCAGCCTGAGGAGGCCACAGCAGAATAAGGGTTGCCCACGAGGCCGAACCAGGGGTGGATTCGAAGGTCGTGGAGGTTGTTGGCATCCTTGCTGCTGGTATCTGTGTGGAACCTGTGTCAGGTATATCTAGTGAACATCTTTGGGTAATCCCTTTATATAAAGGAGGTGATGGCCTGCATCTCTGTATGAGAGCGTCTGAGTTGGAGATCTCTAAATATCTAAAACTGATCACACCATTTCATGAAACTGAAGTTGATTGTCATTTCAATGTTTTCAAGTGTACAGCAACCGCACTGTGTTGGCTAAAGCAGTTTTAGCCTCTTTTGTTATAGTGTAAACTTGTAGGCAAACCCCAAGAAGTGAAAGTGTGTACCCATGTATCAACTGAAGATGGCCTTAATTATGAAACTGTGAAAAAACTGTGGCTGCTTGAGACTTGGGTAAGTTTGTTGTCCCTATCTCATTTTGTGTTCTGGCCCCTTAGAGAAACAAACCAAATTAAAACTTACAGTCTCGACACTTTAGTTTAAAATACCTTGACATGTTGGGCTTTGACACAAACCCACACAGAGTACGCTCCTGGCTGCTGTGGTGTGTATGACACACTGTAGGACCCGTCACTGTTGTCAGTCACAGTTGTCTCCACTTTACTGATGGAAAATAAAAAACATTTTATTAATAATATAAAATATCACTTTAAAACCGCAACTGATAGCACATAGATGTAAACTGCTCTCAAAACATCAGTGCTGGATTCTGAATCTGCTCATTCTGAGAGCATGGATGACCTGTCCGAGCTTTGAGTCATACTCTGATGTATATCAGCCTCTCAGTCTGAAGGTTAACTTATTTCAGACATCCAAAACACCAGTGATCACACACGTGCCTACTTTAGGTAATAACTCAAAGACATTCATGGATCAGACGGCTGTGCTGGCAGATACTAAACAGCTACTAGCCTTCCTGATATTGCTGCCCTTGTTTTCAAAGTTACACACTGTTTGATCGTGAATGTGAATAAAAATGATTCATGAGATGTTACGGAGGTCAATAAGAGTGTGCCTCTTTCAACCCAAGTAACAAAAATAGCACAGCACTCAGGCTTAGAGTACTCTGTTGACCTGTTCTGAGCAGCCGGGGGTGTCACACGGCCAAAAAAAAAAAAAAAAAAAATCTTCAACAGCCTTGACACTGAAGCTGCTGTGTGCTGGCAGCTGCACCTCCTTCTTGAGAGTTTTAAAACCTCACATCACTTCAGTCACATGATCAGTTTTTTGTTTTTTTTTCTAAATTAGGTCCTTGCTCTGGGACACTTCAGCAGTTAAGTTTCAAAAAACGTTTTTTTTTAAACTAAATGTGTCTTCTGTATGATTTGCTGAGTCAGAAATGCTCAGAGAGTTAAAATGCTGACCAAGCACGCCACACGCTGTCCCCCACTCACCAGTTTTTCTTCTCTGTGTGAACGACGCTCACGAGGACGTGCTCTCCACCTCGCGCCAACTGTTCTCCAGCTGAGTCTCGGCACACCAGGGTGAAGTGGCCCAGCTGGCCCTCCGTGCCTTCCTGCAGGCCTGT